AGCGAGTCAGGCCTTTGCTGTCCCTGGGCCCCAGGCAAGTGAGGACCCAGGGAACAAAATTTCAGGAGCTACTCACTCACTCTGAGTAGTGCAAGTTGACAACTCTCCAAACGGGTGTCTCCTTCAATTCTGCGTCCTCTGAACATGCCTCACCTCAGTCCAGGTTCTGTGGGTCCCCCTGCCCCACCTGACCCCCATAAGGGAAAGAGACCTACTTGGAAAGACCTATTTGGAAAAACTCTACCTCTTTCAAAATATAGTCTTCACACCTGCTGCCTAATATCAAATTTGTTCTGCTTACAGATGAAAGAGTTACTATAGACTTAATGTGAATGATAACCATCAGCACCCCCCCCCTTTTTTTTTGGTAATAAAGAGGAGGCCCTGAGAAAGTCTTGGATTCCTAAAGGGAAAGGGGAGGTGCAAAGAAACAGAACAAAAGAGACAACAAACTCCCAGGGGCTTGTGATTTGCTTACAGTGTCATGATCTGCTTTCCCCAGAGCAGGGTCACCCAAGCAGAACAACTGAGGATCTCTGACCTATTTGCAGAGTTCTGTTTTCTTTTGCTATAACTTTTTGCAGATTCAGAAGTGTATTTTATAGAAAAACAAACAGTAGTTCATATTTACCAATCTATTATTTAAAAACTTTTTCTTGGGGCACCTGGGTGGCTCAGTCGGTTCATCGGCCCACTCTTGATTTCAGCTCAGGTCTTGATCTCACAGTCGTGAGATCTTAAGATTCCCCTCTCAAAGACACCTGGGTGGCTCAGTCAGTTAAGCATTGGACTCTTGATTTGGGCTCAGGTCATGATCTCAGGGTCCGGGGATCAAGGCCTGCATTGGACTCTGCACTCAGCACGGAGTCTGCTTGTCCCTCACCTTCTGTTCCTCCCTCTGCATTCTCTTTCAAATAAATAAAAAAATAAAATCTTTAAAAAAAAAACTCTCTCCCCCTTCTTCTGCCCCTCCCTCCCCCACATGTGTGCATGCTCTCTCTCTCTCTCAAAAAAAAAACCCTTTTTCATAAAACAAATTATTATAGAACCTGTAATTCAGAATACCTGATAATTTAGATATTGGTTGAAATTTAAGTATATCTTTACATGAAATTTTTATCAACATATTACATGAGAAAATGGTTGCTGGTAAATGCTTTATAAACTTGAAAACTTTGTTTCCAGGACGCTTGGGTGGCTCAGTGGGTTAGGCGTCTGCCTTCGGCTCAGGTCATGATCCCAGGGTCCTGGGATCGAGCCCCACATCAGCTCCCTACTCAGTGGGGAGTCTGCTTCTCCTTCTGTCTCTGCCCCTTCCTCCCCCTGCTTGTGCTTGAACTCTCTCTTTCTCTGACAAATAAATAAAGAAATCTTAAAAAAAAAAACAAACCTTTATTTCCAAGATTAAGACCACGTTGATGTTTTAAATGTTATTTCTTCATTAATATATGATGATCAGCCTCTCCATTTGCCAGCTACAGGAATTTGTATGTCTGTGTGTGTGTGTGTGTGTGTGTTTAAAAGTAATAAAATGTCTTCCCTTTGCTGAAAAGATTTTAAAGAAGAACCAAACAAATAAAGACATCCTGTGCTCATGGATTAGAAGAATTAATATTGTTAAAACAGCCATACTACTCAAAGCCATCTGGAGATTCAATGTAACCCCTATCAAAATATAAAAGGCATTTTTCAAGAAATAGAATAATCTGAAAGTCTGTGTACAGTTTGTTAAAAACAGACAATAATAATGTATTAGCGGTGGGGCGCCTGGGTGGCTCAGTCGGTTAAGCGACTGCCTTCGGCTCAGGTCATGATCCTGGAGTCCCGGGATCGAGTCCCGCATCGGGCTCCCTGCTCGGCGGGGAGTCTGCTTCTCCCTCTGACCCTCCCCCCCTCTCATGTGCTCTCTCTCATTCTCTCTCTCTCAAATAAATAAATAAAATCTTTAAAAAAAAAAAAAAGAGTTATCCATGTTATTATTCATGAACACTTGGCTTATCTCCAATTTTACTATAGTAGTAGTGCAACAATAAGAGTATAAACCCTGGGCGCCTGGGTGGCTCAGTCGGTTAAGCGACTGCCTTCGGCTCAGGTCATGATCCTGGAGTCCCGGGATCGAGTCCCGCATCGGGCTCCCTGCTCGGCGGGGAGTCTGCTCCTCCCTCTCCCGCTCTCCCCTCTTGTGCTCTCTCACTCTCTCTCTCCCTCAAATAAATAAATAAATAAAATCTTAAAAAAAAAAAATAATGTATTAGCGGTATGTAATGTGATAGATATTACAACCATACTGCAATATACAAATGTATCAAAGTAACACAATGTCCACCTTAAATTAACACAATGCCTTAATCATTATCAACCTTCCCTGGGCTAGTGTTTTACGATGCCAGAAGGCATTTTTATAAAATTGGAAAGATGTCTGATTTTAGCCATGTTGCCTCATTGCAGCTGCTTCTGAGCCTTCAGGTAAAAAGCTAGCTGGACCCTGTGATGCCAGTAGAAACAATTCCTTTAAATAATTTGGGAAGAACTATCATTTCCACAATATTAAATATCAACCCAGGAATCTGCTGAATTCCTCTGTTCAACTTCTAATCCTCACCCTGCATCCAATAACCCCAAACTCAGCACAAAGTTCACTCTCAACTCCGGCGTCTTTCAGCTACTCTGCGCTTTAGGTTTCCATGGCCAAAAAGAAATGCAACCCTTTGGCCTCCATCATGAACCTTTGCTCTCTAGGCAAAGGGAAAGGGGCATATGGAATCATTTATCTACGCAAAATAACACTCTTCATGGGCCCCAATATTTAAAATCTTTTTCCAATAATAGATTCTTCTCTCTCTCTTTCTCTCCCCCTTGTTACATAATATATAGTTCTTCTATGTGTATTTTTTTCTGTCACTTAATTAGGTACATGTCTCATACACAGAACACTGTGGGGATTTTCTTTCATCCCGTCCATTCTATCTCTTTATCCTAATTCAGACTAGGCCATTTATGCATTCATCAAGATTTGCACTGTTCGGGCGCCTGGGTGGCTCAGTCGTTAAGCGTCTGCCTTCCGCTCAGGTCACAGTCCCAGGGTCCTGGGATCAAACCCCACATCGGGCTCCCTGCTGGGCGGGAAGCCTGCTTCTCCCTCTCCCGCTCCCCCTGCTTGTGTTCCCTCTCTCGCTCTCTCTCTGTTGAAAAATAAATCAAATCTAAAAAAAAAAAAAAAAAAAAAGATTTGCATTGTTCTTAGTAATCTATACTTGATAAAGCACAATGGAAATCAGGTCACTTTTTTTGTTTTTTTTTAAGTGATTCATTGCAAAAAGCAGGTTTGGTGAAAGGGTTCACATATTAACACCAAAAGGAAAAGTGAGGTCAGCCAAGAAAGTGGTTTCTGAGGCCAGAGAAACAGTGCAGAGGAGGGAAGAGCTCCCAAGAACAGTTTATTTTTAATCTCAAGCTGTCAATAAAGAGAGTCATATAACTTCTAATCAGAATCTGTCAATTCTTATTTCTTTTTTTCTCATTCCACAATGCCATCACTTTCACAGAGGCTCACCTTATTAACCTGCACCATTTGACATTTTAACACATTTTCCTATAAGAAATCATTGCAGACCCCAAGCATCAGCTTACAGTAGCTTTCAGGAACCTTCACACCTTCAAAATGGGGATTTTTGAGTCCTACAGTGTCAGTCCTCTGAAGAGAAGACCTGCATCTCTGTCAACCTTTGGCAGCCCAGACAAAGCCTGGGACATACTCTGTGCTTAATAAGTGCTGATTAGAATTAAATTTAATCACTGTTACTCACAAAGAACGCTTTTCATTTCCCAATACATTCCTTAGCTCATCTCACAGATACTTAAGTTTCCTCAACATACTCTGGTATGTTTTTATATGAAGTTCAATCAATACATAAGGTAACCATACATTTCAGTGTCTCCTGGGGAGGAATATCCACATATATATACTCATATATCATATATGATAAATGTTCATATATCATACATGAACTGGCTTTTATATCATATCTCACCTCTGTGACTCATCACATTTGTGGAAAACAAAGGTCTCATTGCATCACTAAGAACACAAGATAAAAGTACTTTCAAATTGTTGCTTACATTGGAATGGAAGTAGTGAGACTCTAAAGAAATGACTTTTAACTTTCAATAAATCTTATGGAACCTACACATGTAAGCGCTCTTATCCAGGGAAAATAATCTATTTAAGATGCTATACAAAATATTTATATGTTGCTATCATTTTCAAGAATCATTTTGGAGTGACTTTCATAGCCATTTCATAAATCATAAGAAAAACCATATTTTAGAGTGTCTTCTTGCACAAAAATCTTTATTACCCATCTCAATGACTCACTCTAGTCTCTAGACATGGCTATAAACACTTTCCAAACATTTTTAAAAATAAAATCTACCCTCAAAGAAAGAACATGTGTTCCCACTGAGGATATTCAAAAGAATTCATCATAGGACTTCAAGTCACCACTGTGTGAGAGATTCTAAAATATACTCTGAAGAACAGGAACATAAAACCCCAAGATGAATTCTACGGGATTCTACACATCACATGAACTCCTCTAAGGTGAGGCTGCATATAAACGATAGTGTGTGGTGAGAAGGCTACATTAATTGTTCAGGAATGGCATTTTTTGCTCACAATAACTGTCACAGTTATCGGGGCACCTGGCTCAGTCGGTTAAGCATCTGCCTTCGGCTCAGGTCCTTATCCCAGAGTCCTGGGATCAAGCCCCAAATCAGGCTCCCTGTTCAGTGGGGAGTCTGCGTTCTCTCTCTCTCAAATAAATAAAATCGTAAAAAATAATAACAATAACTAACAGTACCAAGGCTCCTTCTCTGATCTCACGACCCGATTCACATGAAAAATCATGTACTATTCATAATATAGAAATGCAGTTTCCTAGAAGACAGCACTGCATTCCGATCAAGGAAAAGATTAACAAACTTCTTGGGATGTTACTTACATCAACAAGCTGATTGACTCCACTTGCTGTTTTCGCCAGTGTGACAAGGTCCTCTTGCATTTTATCCACCCATGACTTGATGCTGCAGAAATCGGAGGAGAATGTTCCATCAGATCTCTGGCACATTGAAGCCACACACATACTATATTTGTGCTCTAGACAATTCATTAAGCTGCCTCCCCAAGTCTCTCTTCCCCCTCCAAGTTCCTACTATGTCCACCCTCTCAACCCACTTCAAATTACAAAACCAATGAACCTTCAGTGGTCCACTTCTTAGGATGCCGAGATCCCACCAAAAAAAAAAAAAAGAAAAAGAAAATGACATAGATGTCTTGTCCCATATAAGGGTACATGTTTCCTTAATTTTTATGAGAATTCTATTAATAATTAGTTACTAAATAGAATATTCTAAACTAAACTTTACCCTTTAGCTTATAATTCTTCTTAATATAATACAAAGCGTATGCTACATACAGAATATTTTAAAAAAAGAAAACATAAGTATTTTTAAATTTCTCATGATTCCATTACCCAGAGATAACCACTGTGAATATTTTGATGTATTCCATCAAATATTTTGATATATTCTAGTCTTTTAAAATTCTTTCACATGGGCGCCTGGGTGGCTCAGTTGGTTGGGCGACTGCCTTCGGCTCAGGTCATGATCCTGGAGTCCCTGGATCGAGTCCCGCATCGGGATCCCTGCTCAGCAGGGAGTCTGCTTCTCCCTCTGACCCTCCCGACCCTCCCCCCTCTCATGCTCTCTCTCTGTCTCTCTCTCTCAAATAAATAAAATCTTTAAAAAAAAAAATTAAAATTCTTTCACATGGTTGAAAGCCTATTACGTTAAATTCACATCTCTGTTTGCTTTAGGTCATATGATAAATACTCTCCCATGCCATTACAAATATTTCATAAACATTGATTTTAATGGCCACTTAATTTTCCATTATCTCTACATCTCATAATATATTTGGCCATCCTTTTTTGTTAAAAGACAGGGTTTCATCAGCTTTAATGACTACAAATTACACAGCAACAAATAGTGAATAAAGCTTAAAAGAATTTCATTTCCTTAGCTAGACTCTTAGATTTGGAATTCTTGGATCAAGGCTGATGTTTTAAAGGAATGGTTTTGAACACTGAAATCACGATTGAAAGATTTCAGTTCAAATTTTTTTTATGTATATATTTCAGATTAATGAAATGGGGATCTTATAATACAAGTTACAGATGTCAGGACATTTTAGAAAAACTTAAATCAATGGTCTTACTTTTTCCTGGCATTAAAGACATTACCAAACAGCACACAATGTTCCCTACTCAAATCAATATAGTTTGCAATCCCTTCATATATTATATTTATTCATCCTTATTTGTAAAAAGATATACAATGTGTATTCTTTTCTGCCCATGCAAATATAAGAAAACACTAGTTAGAATGACAGGAAATGACTTATATTTGAATTTGAACTTCTCTCTACATATATACGACATGTGTATCTCCCCACTGCTTATTTATCCTACCTCTTCAAATTTTATTAGTACCATGTGTTCCCCCGCCTTTAAGAGACCACATCTAAGAGTGGTTTTGAAAAGTGCTGTTCTGGGGCGCCTGGGTGGCTCAGTCGTTAAGCGTCTGCCTTTGGCTCAGGTCATGATCCCAGGGTCCTGGGATCGAGTCCCACATCGGGCTCCCTGCTCGGCAGGGGGCCTGCTTCTCCCTCTCCCACTCCCCCTGCTTGTGTTCCTGCTCTCACTATCTCTCTCTCTGTCAAATAAAAAAAAGAAAAGAAAAGAAAAGTGCTGTTCTGAAAAATAACTATGTATTTCGTAAGTGTTCCATCATGAGATTTAACTGCGTTTGTCTTTCTTTTCCTTGGATAGATAAGAATTCCAATAGAACGACAATGTTACCAACTTTTCGTCAGATACATTTAAATGTAACAGAATAAAAAAAATAAATGTAGGGGAAAAAAGCATAATGTTAAAAAGGGATTTTTTTTTTAAGATTTTATTTATTTATTTGACAGAGAGATACACAACGAGAAAGGGAACAGAGCAGGGGGAGTGGGAGAGGGAGAAGCAGGCTTCCCGCTGAGCAGGGAGCCCGATGCGGGACTCGATCCCAGGACCCTGAGATCATGACCTGAGCTGAAGGCCGACACTTAACGACTGAGCCACCCAGGCACCCCTAAAAAAGGGATTTAAATGAGGTGCAGGTGAACATACAAAAAATAATAAACTGGTAAAGAGGAACAAGGAAAACTGAAAGGCAGTCACAAGAAAAGGATGAAATGCTTTTAAGAAAAACACAGTGGCTTGACTCACACGTGAAGTGAACTAGTTAACAAATAAAATACATAAAATCTGGGGATACTTTCACATGAATGAAAATAAGGAAGAATATTTATTGAACCATGCTGTACGAATATGATCTTAAAAGGTAAATATCAAGAAATAAAACAATAGGGCGCCTGGGTGGCTCAGTTGGTTGAGCGACTGCCTTCGGCTCAGGTCATGATCCTGGAGTCCCGGGATCGAGTCCCACATCGGGCTCCCTGCTCAGCGGGGGGTCTGCTTCTCCCTCTGACCCTCTTCTCTCTCGAGCTCTCTGTCTCCCATTCTCTCTCTCAAATAAATAAATAAAATCTTAAAAAAAAAAAAAGAAAACAATAAATACATGGGAAGAGGGTGTGGAAAGAAATGTATAGAACCATTAAAATGAAGGCTGTAAACCACATTATTCTAATACTATACTTCCTCCTGTTTATAAGCTGGTGCATATTGTAGGGGCCAAGGGCAGGCCACCAAGATGGGCCCAAGATGGACCACTTTGGCATGAACATTATTTTGAGTCAAAGGCAATCAAAATCCAATAGATTCAGGAAAAGCTCTTTACCTCCCCCTCAACTGCCTACTCATATAAGGAAGACAGCTATGAACAGAGATTCTTCTTTACCTAAGAAACTTCTCTCTCTAATAGGGAACCTCTATTTTAGAGCCATCTCCCCTCACCTCCGTGCTAATGGTCTCTCTCCCCTCGGTATCCTCAGACTCCACTCCTCTCCTTAGCTCATATAAGTCTCATGCTGCCTAAACATCTTTGGAATTTCCATGTCTGTGTGGATTCCCCACAGGTATGCTATTAAATTTGATTTTCTCCAGTTAATATGTCTCATGTCAATGTGATTCTTAATTGAGCCAGAAGGAGCTTGAATGGCAGGATGAATCCTTCTTCCCTGATAATCCATTTGAAAAATACTATAAATACAAACTAGTACTCGTATTACTGTTATTAGATAAATATAAACGTGCTCCATTTTTACGTTCAGAACAATAAATTACAGTAGGGAGCAGGCAGGAGAAAAGAGCACCGACACCAATTTTTTTAAGATTTTATTTATTTGAGAGAGAGTGCATAAGCACGGGGTGCAGGGCACAGAGGGAGAAGCAGACTCCCCACTGAGCAAGGAGCCCGAAGCAGGACTCGATCCCAGGACCCCGAGATCATGACCTGAGCCGAAGGCAGACACTTAACCAACTGAGCCACCCAGGTGCCCCCGACACCATTTTCTAATTCACATCAGTAACTCTCCAAGCAGTTACTGAACAAGTCCTAAGACCCAGAGAAAATAAATCAGCTCTTCTTAAATATAATTCCCTGGGCTTGGAATATACCTGGGTTTGGAGTCCTCACTGACAAATAGTAAGAAGTGTTATATATCCCTTTAGTTAAGAAACTGAGCGACAAAGAATATATATATGTAAAAAAAAAAAAAACAAAAAACAAAAGAAACAAAACTTAACTCATGCCTGAATTCTGATTTATGCTAAAGTGATCGAAAATGTGCATTCTAACTTGACACCTGAGTGTACTGTCACTGCCAATGTTCATCGAGTTTAACCGGTTTTGGCTGAAAGCAATGGAGGACCTATCCAGTCCCCTTGCCCCCACTGACAAGCTGTCAAGAACACTTTAGGGAAGCAAGGATAATTTTTCAAAGATACAGGGTGTTACCTGGTTTTCCTAAAATTTGTAAGTACTATGCCTGTCAAACCTGGAATGAGAAGATTACAATGGCCACGAAATAGGCAAAGATCCCATTTGTCACGAAAGTGAAAAATTACACAAGGTAAAACACTCATAGGTGCAGTCTTTTTCTTTCCGGGTCTTTCTCTTTCTGGGTAAACTGTCAAGCACATATGTATAATCGCTAAGCCCTATTTTACTAAATATCCCCAGAAGGTACTATGAAATTTTGGAGAAAATCATAGAGGATATATCCTTTTCACGTAATAAGAAACTAACACAGCACTCCCTAAGGAAGAATTTGTTGTTTGCTCTGTTAACCCATTCAACAGATACTAAAAACTGCAGATGCAGTAATGAAAGATATATGCCTTACAACGTGGTTGGTCTTGAAACCTGATCTGGCAGGAAGAAGGCAAAGAGAACAAAAACATGGTGGTGTAGGGGAGGAAAGTTTTTTTTTCTACCCTTCTAAGTTCTTAACTTAGATAATACTTGGATAGTAGAAGTCTCCTATAACAAAAGGCAGATTAAGAAAGGAAGAGCCTACACATTTATTTAATACACATTTTACATGACACAAGAACCTTTATAAGGAAATGAAGACCAAAAAAATGGTTAAACCAGAGTGTTCTTTGCTAATCTGATAAAGAGTAGAAAGTCGGGAAAGATATCATAGAGCCAAGAGTATGAACTAACTGTAGTAAACTAGGGGGAACTTCACAAAGCGTATTCATTCAGATTCTTCTCTCCGTCCCTTGTCTTCAGAGATAAGGATGTTCCTTTCATCCGGGTTTAGGGGAAGCAACTTTCATATGAGGGGAAGGTCAGAAAGTCCTTCTTGCACACACCACTTCTCAAACTCCTTCAGCTTAAAATATTCAGTATCATATTGTGGGGTAGTGTGTCCTGAATCCCATGAGTGGGATACATTTCAGGACCAACAGAGAATCACTTAAGAGTTTATTAGGCAGTAGGGTAGGGAGGTAGATAGAGAAGGCTTTCTGGACTAGTAGGTACTTGAAGTGAGATTTGAAAGACAAGTGGAA